ATAATCTTCCGCTACGTCACTTCTCTACTGTCAGATTCTTTAACAAGTGGTCCAACAGTCACTACTTTTATCGGGCACAATGTAGAATATACTTTCCCTCAATCACCTTGCAGCTATTCATCAAACAATGTTACATGATCGTTTAAAATTCCCAAAAGCAAAATCTTCGGCTGCTTCTTTAGTTATTGATCGGAAGTTCCGATTGATATTTCATAGTTGTAGATATATTTCCTAATAAGGGAAAACAGTATGCCCATAAGTGAACTCAAGTTTGTAAAAAGTATACATTATTGCTCATGCAGATGAAAATGAACTACAGGAATACCTAGTGATGAAGTAAATTTTTTTTTCGATGGTTTTACTGATTGAACTAAGATTTAAAGCTGTAGAACAAAATTAAATTTGGAAGGTTCTCTGTGATAGTTCCTTGGCTAGCTCAACCATGGAAGCATTAGAACTCTTAGACTAGTTTGTTGTGTCTCCATTGGTGAAATCCCTTTGTAAAGAAATATGAAAACGGTATCCTCTTTTTCAAATGTAAGGAGTGGAAAAAGTCAAGAAAGAGGTAAATATAAGAACATTTTAAGTTTCTCATTGGTGACATCAATAGTATTTATTTATGCATTTTTTATGTTTTCATATTATTCAGCTGAACTGGGCTGGGCAGGCTTTCATTTGAAGTTTTCAACATCTCATTTTATTTTAAATTGAACTAGTAGATTTGTACAGTTCTTGTGGGCTGATGCCAGAATCCAGTCCACTTAAAGGCAATGATGATTGGCCTACGGCCCATTCCAATATATAACTAGTTGCTGAAGTTGGCCCAGTGAAACCAGGCCCAATATCCAGTCCCTGATCAAGTTGAANGCCCAGTGAAACCAAGCCCAATACCTTGTCCAAATCTAAGTTAATCTCTTTAGCTGCTCTGAGCCGTTGGATGATAACTAATCCCATCTCGAGGTCTTGATATTTTGAGGGTTTCCAAGAGTTTGTTTGATTATTCTATTATTTGGTTTTCTCTCTCGTGGTCTAGAGACTTTTGAGTGCTCTCTTCTTTTTATCTTCTTCTGTGTGAAGTTAGTTGAGGAATTCGTTTCTTAAGTCTTTTCTTTGTGAAATTACTATGTTAGTAGGGCCTTTGTAGTGGGTAGTGTGAATCCTTCAGTCTCATTGAAGTAGCTTAGTGTTACTTGGTTGGCTGTGGGGGTTTCTGCGTTGATCTGGGCCTGACAGTGTTGAATAGATTTGGATTGATGTTCTGAGCCTATATTTTGTGAAGCTTTAGTGTTCAGTGGTTATTTCGTATAGTTGATGTATTAGGGTTGTTGTTCGAATGTAATAG